TAGGACAAATCAAAATACTTTATAATACGGACTAGAGGGAATAATATATATATATATATCTATTTGAATGAGTTTACTTGGTATTTAATTAAGGTGTTAGTAATCATTGTTATAAAACATTTCGATCTCTTAATTAGTGTCACAAACTTTGTAATATTCCCTCCGTCCCACAAAAATAACTCACATTAAATTTTGAGTTTTATACTGTTTTTAATAAAAATTTAAAAACTCAATGTAGACCATTTTTTTGGAGACGGAAGTAGGAAGACAAAATGTCGCCGAAAATTATGTACCGCATCATGCAACCCTTTCAACGGTCTTTAAGATCACAACCACAAACGTACGGCACCGACCGTGTCATTTTCTCAATAATTGGTTTTGGTTATGGATCTCCGTCGTTATAAGAGTTCATCGGATTCATGAGTCTCGTACGCACACATCTATATTTCGTAATTGTAATGTTCAGAAAGATGTGCAGTTGTGCACTGCATGTGTAAGGTAAAAACTAACGTTTGTCAATTGCCATTGATTGGAATAATACTACATATAATTAATCATAGAAGTTAATTAAGAGATCAGAGATTATAACTTTTTCGAAATGGAATAGCAATGTGTCCGTAATTGGACGTTGATAATGTATCAGAAAACTTATAACGATTGATCTGTTTTACTCAATGAAATAAAAGAAAATAAAAATAGAAATCATTTACTCGTTTATTAAAGTTGATGATGGCGGAGTACTATGTCTGAATATATAACTCATAATATTCCACAATCATTCTAAAATAATAGTACTAGTACCTAGCTAGGTTAGTTATACATGTAATTTAGGTTTACTTTGATCTTTCAATTCATAAAAAAAGAGTAGCCATCAGAGTTAACCTAAATATCGCTTATTGTATAACAATAACATTCCATGAGTATACCTAGTTTCATTGATTTATGATTGTTATTTAAGGAAGGAAATGCTAAATTATAGATATATTACTTCCATTTTTTCAGATAATGATTCGTGCAAGAAAATTTTAGCGGGGTATGAATCATAACCGTTGATACTTAGTTTATATCTTTTCTTTATTTATTCATTTAAGGATTAGTGGATAGTTAAGATTTAGTAATTAACTTATTTACTGTAAATTTTTTTGTCAAATTTTTACACTTTATTCTAATGCAACATGAAATATAGTTTTTCCAACTTACCTTTAGCTCTTTTTACTTTTAACAGCTCCTATTAGCGAAAACTACTTTTTTATTTTTTCTAGTTCAATTCTAAAATTTTATATGGTCTCAATACTTTAATTTAAGGACAAGAAATATAATATACGTGAAATTTAAAGTATCAATCATTGTTTCGTTAGTATTTTTACAAATTCTAAAGTGACGGATAAAAAAAATTAAAGCAGCATATAAGTTATGACGGAAAGTCCCGTCACCATTGTTGGAAAACGACCAAGACCGGGAAAGTAATTAATTAGAAATAATAATAACAATATCAGCATCAAAGTAAGAGGGATGAGGCAATGCACCTGAAAACCAAAATAATTTGATCCAAGTTGTCTGGTGTGGTGAGCATAGCACGCTTTGTCTTTTGAGGGTTCTCTAGTCATTATCTTTATGTGTAGTTTCATTTTCGTTTGGCTATATTCCCCCCACCTTTTATCCATCACTTCACAATATTGTTTTTTTCTTACTTTTATGTTTGAGACGTTTCGAATGTGACTTTTTTTTTTGGATTATTATTCTTTTTTTCTAATTTTTTTCTTTGGCTCTTACGGTAATTTAAGCATTAATTTCCTCTTAACTATAAATAAAACAAATTAAAAAAGCAGCCTGTAGTGTCAAAATTTACAGAAATTAAGAGGAATTTTTTTTTATAGTAAAGAAAATATAGGTACATTATTTCATGCTACCCTATCTAATCTTGTACGTAGGTTTCAACTGCCATTTGAGCTACAGCTTCAAGCAGTCAACTGAATTTCTTCAAATTGAACTGAGATATTTTGACTAACTTTTTTTGTTCGTTCATCAAGTTGGTAAAATGACATCATTATTATTATTATTATTAAAAAAGAAACCTGTATTAAAACACATCATTTCTTATAGATTTCTTTTTAAATTTCGCCATTATTGCTACCCTAATTGATTCTATGATATACTTAAAATCCATACTTTTTTTTTTATGGAACCCATAACTGAATTTGTTTGTAATTTAGTAATAAGACATACTTGACAAACAAAAAAAGAGATAAATCATGAAGTTTACGTGAGGATATAATATTGAATAACATGATTCATTTTTTTTTTTAAAAAAAATTCTTTCTGTACTTTATACGCTTGATTAGTCTGTTTAAGTTTGAAGTATGCACAAGTTTTACATTCTCAATGAAACACTAAAACCAAAACGAATACTCCCCCTGTCCCAAAATTATTGTCCAGTTTGAGATTTCACTTTTAGTATAATTTGAACTAAAAATGAAAACTCAAACTGGACAATAATTATGGGACGGAGGGAGTACAAGTTATACATAGAGATTGAAGCTAACTTGATCTTATTTCCCAAACAAAAGGAAACTAACTTGACCTCATTCATCTTGACTATTGTGTATGAACCTGTCTTTCGGCCGGTTTAGATTTGGAAAAACTTTTCTCAGAGTGTTGTTTTCCTTGAGACAAAAATTGCCAAATTAATGTTAAGGAGAGGAAAATGACTTGTTGCTTGTACCTAGCATCTTCTCTAATGGATATTGACATCTAAAACATGTTAGTTTCCACTGTTTTTTCCAATGGGATTGAGGTCAGTTTGGATATATACAATATAAAGTGTGTGAAAAGAAGCAAAAGGCAGAGCACACACAATTTGAAGAAAGCCATAGTTAGATATATATACCATATATGGACTTATAGACAAAAGCCAATATAAGTGCAAAATGTAGGAAAAAAAAAACACCTTTCTTTTTGTTGCTAGATTGGGAAATTGGTGCATCCCCCTATTAAACTGAAACCAATCTGTACTACTATTTCTTCATTCCCAAAGTTTCAAATGCATGAATCTTGGCAATTTTGAATGGCATATGATCATTATAGTACTATAGAACCAACAGCAATATCCATATCATCAATGAGGAGAGAGCACAAACACAAAAAAGTTGAAAAAAAATGAATGATGGATTGGCCTCTTTTTCCTTTCAATGGAAATGAAAGCACTTATTTTTAGGGTTGTGTAAATATGCTCTCACTGTCACACATCCTTATATGGTACCCTATTAGTTAACCCTTTCTATCTCTCTCTTTCTTTCTTTCTTTCTTTCTTCATGGTTATCTGCAGAGTGAAAGCAACCTTCTGTGGTCCTGATATAATAATGCCAAGTCTAAATTGGACAGCCCTTTGGATTAATAGCTACTATAGAGAGGACTTTGATGAGAGTGAGTGTGATTTCAGGGAGGAGGGGCGGCATGCATATATGGAAATGAAAGAGTGGTGGCCAAAAAAAAAAAAAAAAAAAAAACCTCTTTAATTCATTACATTGTAGACAAAAGAAAAGACTACCACATTTTGGCTACCATTTTCAACAGCCCTCTCTCCAACAAGAGATGATGATGATGGGAAGGGGGGAGAGTGATCATCAATGTGCCTATAATAATATCAATGCCTGAGGAAGTAAGAAGTGATTGGCTAGGGTTTTGAATTAGGTCATGTAAACATCAGTGGGAAAAGTACAAGCACGAGGGGGTGGAACTGTTTGCTCTTGACTTCTTTGATATCACAATGGTGCTGCAGCAAAGAAAGCATCTTTAGGGTGTGAAGCAAAGAGTGAGAGACAGAGAGAGGGACCATAAAGCTATAATCTTTCTGGTTTTGATGAATTTAAAGGTAAAACCTACATCAACTATATATGCTTTTATAGTCATGATGTCTATCAATAGGCTCAGTTGGTAGTCATCTCTCAGGGGGGAACTTTTGTAGGGAATCCATTCAAGCCAATATCAACAGCAACATTCCCATCTAGCTAACTATACACAGGTTTGATGTATGAGAGTAATGACATCTATTCTATACAACGTATTCATCAAGTGAAATGATTCAGTATCATACACTAAAAGATAATAACACGTCCTATATTGTATTTCACCTTAATTAACAAAGAAATGATAAATGGTTATTTTGTATTTTTCACGGCGGTAACTGAGTTATTTTAACTAACTAAATTCAATCAATACAGGATGTATGTAACAGAGACAAGGGTGAGGAAATAGATTTTAGAAATTAAGAAAGAACTGAGTGAGAGAAAGGTGTCATGATATGTAGGTCTGGTCTCTCTCTTTTCATTGAAAGTGACTCTTGGAGAGAGGAGAACCCCAGTCAAAAGAAAAGCTAGCATTTTGCCTGTCAGGCCATTTCTTTCTTCACTTAAATTATAAATATATATCTCTTCAAAAACTGAAATAATTGTCCTTGCTGCTCCTGCTATAGAGGTTTTCCTCCACATGTGACGTGGTGCTTCACCAACATCTCAATATGTATTCTCTTTGTACCATAGAAAAGTCTAAAGATATTTTTAAAGAAAACAATGAGAAAAAACAACAGCCCTAACTCCCCCCCCCCAAAAAAAAAGAAGCATTCATCACTCTCTCTATATTAAGTAGTTATTCTACTGATCTCTCTCAAAGAGTCTGCTGTCTGTTTCTTTTCATATTTTCTTCAGGAAAAATGGAAAGGGTCATCTCCACTTCATGCAAATTCACGATCTTTGATATATAGGGCATTTGGTGGAATTAATAGGTAGAAAAAACTTTTGGGAGTCAATTCATAACCTGCAATCTCACGTGAAGTTGCATTACATTATTTTAGAAGTAGTGCATCCTATCCACTTCTTGGCTTTCTGCAATACAAGCTAAAAAATTTTGGTGGTGGCCTTCTCTTTCAATCCTTTTCATGGTCCAGATATGAAATAAGAGAGTACTCTAGCTATTACCACAAGAAAAGAAAAAAGAGAAAAAAAAAAAAAAAACAAACATTCCACAGAGAAAAAAGAAACCAACTTTTGAGATGTGGAGTTATCAAAGATGTGAGTTGAGTTATATATAAAGATAGATATAGGGCTCTCTTTAACTTGTCTAAGTGCAAAGATTCTTGTTCTACATCTTAGCTCAAGCTCAACCCAGTTCCCTAGCAGCATTATTCATGTTCCCCACTTCTTCTGTTTCTTGTTTACAGCTTTGTAATACTGCAGCAAGGTACACACACACACACACCCACACACTCACACAGTAAGTCAAGAATGCTACATTTTTTTTTGTTTTAGGCTGTCGTTCTCAACTCAAGTTTCTTTGCTCAAACTAAGAAAAAAGAAAAAAGAAGAAGCCTAATATTGATGTAAAGATTTCTCTTTTATTCAACTTTCTTTTCTCTCTTAGTCAAAATTTCAATTTGTCATCAGTCTTTCTCAAAATCTCTCATATTTCGTGCAGAAGAGACATTAACATGAAGCTCTTTCATCAACCTTGATCAAAGTACTCCTCACCAAGCTTATCATCATCATCATCTGTCTTTCTCAATCTGGATTTGGGAGAATTTCATCTAGAAAAAGAACAAAGAAGAAAAGTGAAAAATGATAAAAAACATATAGCCACATATAGCAAACTGTTAGGGCAGGTGGCTTTGCTGCTGTACCTAAAACCAGGGAAAAATAGACATGTATCCTTCCAGCCATGACTACAACAACAATCACAATCCTAATATTAATCCTACATCCTTATTTATTACTGAGACCAACCCAAATTCCAAATTTGATCAAGACCTTCAACATTTATCTTCTTTCCACTTCCCTTCTCCATTTGTTCAGTATGATGATTTTGTCTATGAGTTAGAATGGCAGCAACTATATGACCTTTTCATTCAGCAGCAACCCTTTACACCTGAGAACAGTGTAGCTGAGATTATCAACAGCATGGAAGCTGGTGATTTACCAAAAGAAGGATTGCCGGATGATGATCACCAGCAGAATGAAAATAATAATATGATCAGGAAAAGAGCTCTAAAGAAAGACAGGCACAGCAAGATTACAACTGCAAGGGGACCAAGGGACAGAAGAATGAGGCTGTCTCTTGATGTTGCCAGAAAGTTCTTTGATTTGCAAGATATTTTGGGGTTTGATAAGGCAAGCAAAACAGTTGAATGGTTGATGGTTCATTCCAGTTCCGCAATCAAGGAGATCACAAGAGGTGGTAATTTCCCCGGCAGGAGGATGATATACGCCGGCCACCAAGCGAGTTTCGGCCCAAACACTAGTGTTTCCTCTACTACTTCAGAATGTGAAGTTGTATCAGGAATTGATGATGCAACCACCACAAATATCAATGACAATGGCATCCAGCAGAAGGCAGTGAAGACTAAGAACAATGTTACAAAACCATCTGCCTCTAAGAAGAAGGAGAAGAAGGCGAAATCAGCAAGGCGAGCGGCATCATCGCACCTGCTAGCCAAGGAATCTAGGAAAGTAGCAAGGGAAAGGGCAAGGAAGAGAACAATGGAAAAGAGAAAACTTGGTGCAACAAAGTTGTGCTTGGAAGAAGGAATAAGCTGCAGAAAAAGTAGTGATTTGAAGCAGTTGAATAATCCTCCTCATCAGCAGCAGCAGCAAAGAGGATATGGTGCTAATATCTCAGTTATCACTGGAAATTGGAACCCATCTCCAATCTGCGCTTATCAGCAAGATGCTGAAGTTCCTCATCTGGTATATATAAACTATAAAGCTTCTTGCTTGAAGACAATATTCATATTCATATTCATACATCTTTTTGAAAGTTTGGAAAGGTTATACTAGTTTACATTTATGGCAAGTTGAAATCTTTGTTTGTTTTTTTTTTTTTCCTCTTTATTTGCAGAATCAGTTTTCAGATTTGGAATATTGCAGCAAAACATGGGAAGCCTACAACAACAACAACAACAACAACAACATGAGTATTCTTGGCGCATAGCTTCCTCCCCTTTCATGTGGTAACATAAGAATAAGCTTTGTTGATTTCCATATCATTTTTCTTCTTTCCTGATGGATATGAGCCATGTATGTACCATAAAATATGCTTTAATTAATTAGGTCTGTCAACTGTAATCTTAGCCGGGATAGTTTTTTTTTTTTTAGCTTCATCCTGCACATATATTGTTCTATTCTAGACTTTCCCCCTCCAGTTTGTGATCAGACCATATGTGTTACTTCACTAGCTAATGTTTCATCGTCTTCATATGATTTCTATCAGTCACTTAATGGCCTGAAAATTAATCCGTTGTGCCGGATTTTGCTAATTTGTTCATTCTAGTTCGTGATCATTAATCTTAAACATGCATGTTTTTGAATTCTTTATAAGGTTAGTACCTTTAGCAATCTGGCCTGATTAAAGGTTCAAAAAATTGATACCTTCAACAAAGACAGGAAGAAATCAAGCATGAGTGATTTTCTCTGTGGTTTGTCTTTCTTCTTTGATAATATCAGTAGACAGACACCACTTCAACCATACTCCCTCCCGGAAAACACCAAGGATTTATAGTAGTCCGGCGAGCCCTTTGGAGTTGTTAAGTTGTTAACCCTTCTTCTATATCTTCAAAAGGAGAATCATAAGATATTGGGAAATCGTCCAATAGCATTTTATAGTCTGATTTGATGATGAAACTGGAGTTGCATGACAAAGAGAATAAGTAGAAGAGAGTGGAGAAGTTTTGAGGAAATTAACAGATTAAGTCAACCTAGTCAAGTTTGGTTAGAATAAGGTACAGAATGGCCTTCCTTTCCATTGTTATGGGGCATATTAACACTTTGATATATATGGTGGTTATTATGGGTTTTCTATGGTGGGGACATTTGTTCTAATCAACTTTGATGATAGGATGTTAGTGAGGTTATATGGATGCGATTTTATTGAACTTAAGTCAGTTTTTTTCTCATCAAATATGAAAGAATTAATATAAGCTTCCTTTGAGTCCACATAATTGAAGAAATTCGAGATAGTAAATTTTTTTCAGTGAGACGATGATCGACAACTGATCACATGTGACATACTCCCTCTGTCCCAAAATTATTGTTCAGTTTGAGATTTCACTTTTAGTGCAATTTGAACTAGAAATGAAAAATCAAACTCGACAATAATTATGGGACGGAAGGAGTATATGAAAACAAGCAAAAGTAGGAGATTTTAATCACTTTAGTTGTATCTCTACATGTATGCTAATGAACTATTTCACTCAAAAAATAAAAAATAAAAAAAATTCTCTGATGGTATATCATCATTATGCAACAATTAATATGAATTGCCTTTTTAGGTCGAACACATTTTTCATCCAACTCCAGTAGTACTAATTTTGGATGTTGTATTTTGTTGGTATTCTTCTAATTATTGAGAATGGCATCAATGGTGACTTTTGGGAGGTTCTTATCCTTTTCAACCCATTTGGTCACATCATCCCATGATATTTCTATGTTATTCCTCTTTCCTTTGCTTGCAAGAATGAAAGATACATCTGAATGCTACTCAAATTTACACCAGCAAAGAAAGATGTGCCTAAAGAAACAAAAAGAAAAAAAGAAGAAGAAGTCCTTCCCTTATTGAATTCAGTTTGTTGCGGCTTCATCTTGATCAGGAAGTTTAATCAATTCCTTCTTTTCATTTCATTTTTCAAATTTCATTCCTGAGTAATGTGTGTTTCTGTTTTCTTTCTTTCTCTTTTTCTTTTTTTTGGTTCTTTTGCGGGGGGTATATTCATGATTAATTACATTATGCATATTAGGTTTGTGCTAATGTAATATTTTTCAACTTGATGTAGTTATTATGTACTTAGAAATGAATTACAAAAACTGGTTTGAGTGTTGAAGCAATAATAACTAAATATAATCCAGGATAAGATATTGGATTACAAATATTGGATTACATATAAGGGGATCAAATCATATTAAGGATTTAAGTTACATATAAAATGTGCCTCATTTTTATTTTTTATTTTCAAAAAAAGAGAGTGAAAGAAATAGTCTCCCTGGGATTTTTAAATTTTTTTATTGAATATTAAGTTTTATTATTTTAGTTTAACAAAATAAACCTAAAATGGAGAGAGTATCATTTATTTTCAAACCTCCCTTCATTGATCCTCTATTAATTAATAACCTCTATTAAATGATATTTTTTGCCGGTCCCAACTCCAACTCGAGATTAGTACAAAAAATAAAAAAAAACTCGATTAATTTATAAGATAATAATTTTTCAAATATCTCCTATGTAAATATAGGTCCTTACAATTTTATAAATTAATAAATAACTAAATAATAAATTAGATTTGAAGATTAACTTAGATTTTGACTTAAATATTTTATTTATGATTGCAATTTTCATGTTTTTGTTCCATTAAAAAAATTATAATATTATGGCTGGGGCAATTCTTGTATTTTCTAACTTATAGGATTAAAAAAAATCTTTAAATTAATAAAATATTAATTTATCGGTAAATTAATTAATAGATTTTTAGAGACCTAAGTGTATTAATTTATAGAGGTTTTACTATATATGATGTTAAGTTATTTAGCATGGTTTACAGATGTTTTCCTTCACCCGGCGGCGCGAACAAGTAAATCCAGGAAGCAATTCTTTAATTATATTGCATGAATTATATTATTATAAACCCTTCTATATGGTCTATTTTACTCTTAATCAACTTAAGAGTATGCCATATATATGCATTTGTGTTTGTTAAACTGATAAAAGCGAGGGAAATACCGGAAATGGGGACTGGGCCAAAATCTATAGAGATCAATTTGTTTAAAGCTTTCCAAACTTGTTAGTTTTGTTTTATTTTTATACGATGAAGGAGGCATATGCTTAGATTAATGTATTCTTAGGGTATGATTCTTTGATAACATCATGTTCCAAAATATTATAAACAAACAAAATAAGCATAGCAAACAAGAAGATAAAAATTTGGTGCCATTGATAAACATGTTACCAAAAATTTAAATTTGAACAATTGTATGATCTGCTACAAATAAAAATCATGATAATATTATCATAATCATCATCGACCACTTTTATAAATTATTTTTATCACCATAAATATTATGTCATCCCTCAAAGTAATTCATGTTCAGTTAGTGCTTACAAGAAGCCTCTTAATGAATCCCCCCGCCCCCAATGTTTGATATGTCTTTTTGTGTAGTATCTTTTCGGTTTACTCTATCGTGTTTTCTTTTATTATCAAAAAAATCTGGTGCACATTGTCAGGTACAAAAAAAAAAAAAAGGAAAAAGAAAAAAAAAAAAAGGATGTGTACACCGCGCACTCTCCATCACCACTCAAACCATCATGTTGATTAATCAAAATTTACACTAAGATTGATCTTATCATAATCCATTAACATCATTTGTCTCTATCATTAGGAAATTGATCACTTCATGATTACTGGGAAAACTTTAAGTTTCAATCACTGGGATCACATGTTAAATGGTACGTCTTACTAGATAGATCAAATCTATGTAAAAAGGACAAATGATGTCCGAATTCATGGGATTGAGAGATTCGATGTGGGGATGTTTCCTAGAAATTGGAAGTCTCATCTAAATTGAATAATTATACCAAACTATGATTGTTGTTCCATCAAAGTAAAAGTGTCTTTTGATTAATCATTTTGTGCAACAAGGAATAGTGCCCAACAAACTAGAGATCGGCTGAACCTGGTCGATGTGAGGTCGATTGATCAGAGAGCATTACACATATATGGATTGAAATCCTGCTCTTTTGATCACGCACTATCCTGAAGTAATACTGGAATTGAAACTTTCAATATTTATATTTTGAGACGAAAAAATGTACATTTTTGTTTTTGGAAAAATGAAAACCTGTTTTCGACCATAAATAAATGTCTTAATGTCTCATCACACGCAACTAAATCATCGTTTCTAAGCTGTAAAACTAGAATCTCATAAACTCCCGTAACCAGAACTAGGTTTAATAGTTCCATTCGATATTTCCACCACCTAAATTTCTTGCATCGGGACATATTAAAACGATTAATTAATAATCATTTTTATTAAACTGGACATAAGTTTCAGATAGCTTAGTTGATCTTAGTATAGATCCCGACAAACTTTAATTCATGATTTCAGTTTTGAAATTAATATTTGTTAGTCAATAAGGTTGAAAATATAAGCAGTAACTAACGCAAATTTTATTTTTCTCCCCAAATGTTCAGTATTAAACTTTAAGTTGTAAGTCTAAAAGCTACATTTTCTGATAGTGAACCAGAAATAAAAACTTAATGAACCCACATTAGAATTGTCTAAAACTGGAAAAAGATAATATGCAGAGCAATACATTTTGAATTAGTGGTTGAAAACTTCAGTGTGGTAATTTGTTTGATAAAATATGCAAAATTGTAAACCTAATCTATGTATATGTTTCCTTTATTGTAGTCATGACTAAGGAATTCTGTCAACACAGTCCCACAGGAGGGGGATTGTTTTCTAACATGTGTACTCATGTCTCAAAATTATTATCTAGTTTGGATTTTTACTTTTAGTTTAATTTGTACTAGCAATGGAAATCTAAACTGGTTAATAATTTCGGGATATAAGAACATTAAACTATTACTTTTATCGCTTTCTTCCTCACCGAAAGCCAAAAACCAATCCAGATAATTTGCTACACTCTTAGGGATAATGATATATAATATGTTCAGTCTATCCCAACTGATCTGAAATTACCAAAACCGAACCTAGAAAAATTGCTACACTTTTAGGGATACTGATATATAATATGTTGAGTACATCCCAACTGGTCTGAAATTTCAGGTATGAAAATGACCTGAACTAGGGTTTTTTTTTTTTTTTTTTTTGTTTTACTTAGTTGTATATCTTATCTACAATGTCTCTTCCCCTCAACCCAAACTATGATTATCTTTGGAGTAATATACATCCTAACTATGTTTACCATGCTTTGTATATTGGTCGAGGTCTCGCGGTCAACTATAAGAATGGGTAAAAACTAACAAAATGAAAGAGGTAAAATTGCCAGAATTAACTTTCCGCGAACTCCGCCGGTTGAGGTTAATACAGGTCAAGTACTATAGACTGAAAAGTGGCATCTACATTACGAGATTGAACTGTTTCTGAATTCTTTACAACATGTCCTCTCTATGTTTTAAAATGATTATCTGTTTTATAAATAAGATTAAAAAAAATTGGATAAGAAGTAAAATAATCTATCCTGACAGTTCATACATTTGAATAGTCAATCATTCGTTTGTACACACGTTTGCCTTACATTCTGATCCCCTCCAAACTGATTTCCTTTATGTATAATTTGAGCAGCTTCTTCTTGTTACACTTGTTAAATAAAGAAGAAAAACAATATATAATCTTCACATCTGGACGTACTATATTATATGGTAAACGGTACATCGGATCTAATTATGTATACAGTTAATTTTACCTCTTTAAGGCAAGATTCTTGTACCCAAAATCGAGGATAACTGGCGGCAAGTGGCAAAGGGCCGGGATGTACGTTAACTGCTCTAAATTAGGGGTGTGTGTTGAATGTCAGTAACAAAGATGATCAGACAAGATATATGCAAATAGTAGCAACAATCCCTCACAAGAGGGTACAGAATCTGAATTGGAAAAAAAACTCTTAGAAGCCGGAAATTTGCTAGCTAGCTACGTACTATATATGTATATACTTTTGTAGCTTCCTATTATTTACTTTCTTTACTTTATAAATTGAATCCCTCTTTAGCTCCAAGGTCAT